CTGGGACATCCCAGCTTATGTGTCAGGCCCCGTGCCCCAGCGTTGCGAGGTGGCCCACACCAGCCATTTGGGTGGGTCGAGACAACACCAGCGCCACTGGGCTGACCCAGCGCCCCAGTCCTCCCCGGGCCTGGCTTCAGGTCCAGGACCTTGCAGCCGTCCCAGGAAAGCGACCGGAATCCCAGGGCCTGAAACCAGACCGGGCCGGTGCTGCCCGGAGCCATGCCTGTGAGCACACTTGGGGCGCAGTGTTTGTACAAGAAGACGGATGCCTCAGGCGGGGCTCATTGGTGAATAATAGCCCGCCAGGTTCCTCTGTCATTTTTAACAAACGTTGTTCACTCTTATCAATATCCAGGGTGGTGAACGTAAGTCACAGCGAGGCCTAGGGACATAGATCAAAATTCAGTTTTATGGCTGAACAGGACTGAAAGTGGGTGTTTACAGAGATTCGAGGTCTGAAACGGCCAGCCACAAATCACGCGGGAGGGGGCCGTCCTGGGGGGAACGAGGGGGCAGCGCCAGACGCCAAAAACCCACCAAGTGTGGGAAATTGAGGCCACGTGTCAAGGAAGGGATTTCAGAGCGTTTACGGCCAGCGTTGAGCGTGTGCGTCTGTGGCGACATGCCTGGAGCGCTCCTGTCCGGGAAGCAGGTGGAGTAAGCGGGGGAGGTGGAGGCCGAGGCCCTAGCGACACGGCGGGTCCCCTACAGAGTCAGGGTTCCTGTGCGTGGGGACTGTTCTTCTAACCGAAGCTCAGATAAACTGTGGATATTGCGTGGGGCACATGAAAAATCACCCTTCGCTTAGCTGAACGTCAGGTGTAAGAGGGGACAGCCTGTGGTCGGGCGGGACTCTGGGGGCAGGGAGCACGGGAGTCAGGCACACGGACACGCTGGTTTCTGTGCTGTGCGCTCTGGACGCACTCGTAGGTGTGTGGCACAGGCGTGGCAGCCGCAACGCCAGACGCGAAGGTCTGGTGGTTCTGAGCTCTGCAAAGAGCCCTTCCCTCTGCCTTAAAAATAGCACTTCCAGCTGAAACATGATGGCTGCACCTTCGACGAAAGTGGTGCAGAACCTTATTAAGTGCAGACGGCATTGGCACAGATTGAACGCTGCCCTCGTTTGGAATCTAGATTCAAAACATCTTATGTAAAATATAATTAATGTCACTTTTGAGGTGCAGCCTGTCAGGTCTGACAGCAGACAGACACAGTTTCACCGGGAAGCTTTCAGATACTTAGGTGAGAATCGGGCCGCGTTTTACTTCAGCAGTTTTGTTGTTTTGGAGTCCAGAGAAGTTTGAAATGAAGCGCCTGTTGCTCCTAGAACTGGGTTCCTTGGGAAGGTGATTTTGTGACTCACTTGAATGCGCGTTCGTCAGCCGTTAGGGAGACCAGGCCCCCAAGCTTGGATATGGGAGATGCGGGGTCACCGGCCCCTGTCCCGGGTGAGCGAGCGTCACGCCCGCCGTCTGCAACGGGGCTGCCACCTGTTGCGAGGGCCCTTTGTCTTTCCTGTTGGAGCAGAGTCACCTCGTCAGGGACTCCGAGTTTTTCCCTTTGACTGACTGACGTGGCATTTACACGGCAGTGAAAATTCTGCGGGTCGAGGGGCAGTGTCTGCTGAGACGTGACTGTTGCTCCCAAGTGACACTGGGCACACGGCCAGGGCCGTCCGAGGGGAGCCAGGAGGCGCCGGCGCCGGGGAGGCAGGGAAGCCAGCCCGCGCGCTAGTCAGAGCCTTTGTCCCACCGCGCGCAGCGGGCCCCTAACTGGAGCCACTCGGGCGCGGCCGTCAGGTGCGCTCGTCAGCAGTGCGCCGAGCGGGCGAGGAGACTCGGGAAGCTGGGCACTGTTGCATCGCCCCCCGGTGCACTCGGCGCTCGGGTGCTGAATTTGCTGAGCGTCCCTTGCGCGTGTCCCTGAAGGGGCTGCCGTCAGTGCCCCCCGCCCCCCGCTCCGGCCGCCCCCGCTCCCCCCGCCCCCGGAATCCCAGCAGCTCCGTGGCCCGTGCCCTTCGTGTCCACAAGGAGCAGTCTCCGGCCACCATCACACGGTGGGGACACATTTTCATATGTAACATGTGCCACCTGGCCCCTCCTCCACGGCCGTCTCCACCCTCAGGCAGGTCACGGGTGGGAACGGACCGTCCTCCCCCGACAGGAGACGGCGCCGGGTGGAAGGGCGGCGGCTCCGCAGGGACCCGGCCGCAGGGGCTGGACCGTGAGGGGCGGTTGAGGCCGATCTCGGGGAGCGCAGGTGTGCGTGCGTGACCGGCCGGGGCGCGGGTAGACCCGATGGCGGGGTGAAGCGGGGATGCCCAGCAGCCTGGGGTCCGCTCTGCAGGCCGGGGTGAGCCCCGGGGCCCGAGTGGGGAGGACTGGGCGGTGGCTGGTGGGATGGGGCCCAGGGAGCCCAGGGTGCACCTGGACTCAACGGAGAGTGAAGATGGGTCCCCTGTGTCGCGTCGGCCACGTCTGAAAGCCTGACTGTAGCAGAGGCTTCACGCCCTGCTCCCGTGACCGAGCGCGTGGTCCCGCCAATAAAACAAGGGGACATCCCGCTCACAACCCGGAGGCGGGAGCCTCTGGTCACTCCTGCTTCTCCCCCGACCAGCGCTCTGCAGGCTCTGGGCTCTGCCGAGAAGCACCCAGGGGCCCGGGCGGGAGGGACGGGGACCCACGACCCGCCTGCTGTCCCAGGGCTTGCACAGGGGCCCTCAGAGCCAGCCTTTCGACCGCGTGGCATCCGCGCGGATCTCGTTTGAGAGGGAGGCTGGTGCTGCGGGAACAGGGCGCGGGAGCAGGGCCCCGGACGGGAGGGCGGCAGCCCCTCGCCGTCTCTGCCCAGGTGGGCAGTGGCCCCCGGCTGCCCACGGGGAGGTGGGGACACCCAGCTGCTCCCACTGGCGACAACACGTGTCGAGCAGTGAGGCCGTAGGTCCCGGCGCAGGGGACAGGGCCTGTCTTCGGCTTCCTGCTGGTCAGGAGACCGTGACAGTACCGTGTCCTTCGTACCCAGAGGTCCGGCACCTTCTCACAAGCGGCTCCCTTTTCACATACAGACGTTGTTTTTCCTTCCATCCGCCGCGTCGCTGCACCCCTTCCGCTTCCCGTCCCCATGGCCTGGATACACGCGCTTCGGCTCGGTGCTGGTGTGTAAGCACGTCTGAAAGCCGGGAGCTCGGCCGCCGGCGCGGCCGCTGCTTCTTTGCGGACCCTGAGGGGCGTCCAGCAGCCAGGTCACCAGGAGACAAAGGGTCATTCACTGGTGATACCTCCAAACAGACGGGTGAAAGGAACTGGACCACCGCCCACCGTCCAGGCCCCTCTTCTGCCCCGCATGCCGGCGATGGCCGCCTGCCGGAGCCGCGGAGAGCGTGGCCACAAGGGGGCGCGGGTGCACAGACGTCGGAAGAGGGGCCCCACCTGCCGTCCACATCACGCGTCTTCCGGCCAGCAGGGCTCTCCAGGGTGGAGGGGCAGCCGTGGCCCCAGCCAGTCCCGTGAGCCACGTGGGGACAGGAGGGGGCAGGGGCAGCGCCCCCAATGCGGGGGCCGCACCCCGGAGGGCACATCGCCACCTCCTGTGGGGGAGCCCTCGGCCGCGGTGGAGGCGGACGCCGTCGCCACACCAAGGCCAGGCAGGGGGCGACGAGGGCCCGGCGACGAGGGCCCAGCGCCGTGTCTTCGGACGCGCCTGGCACACAGACCCAGCCCCCGCCGCCTCTGCAGCCCTGGCTGCGTGTCCGGCAGCCGCACCCATGCCCGCGTGGCCTGCGGTCCTGTGCCCTGCTCTCCCCGCGCTCTGTGCACGCGGGCCGGGCCGTGCGGGCTCCGCGTCGCCTGCTCCTGACTCTGTCCCAGCCCTCGAGGGAGGGCACTTCCGGCGAGTCCCCGGGGAGGGCCCACAGGCTCCATGGCAACCACATTTTTTAGGGCTACCGTAGCGTTTCCTTGCATCTGCAGCAGACAGCAGCCCAGCCGCTCCGGTTTCGCATTGTGCGGGGTGAGCCTGTCACCGACCCGCACACCCCCGGTCCCCCAGACCTTTCTTCACCCAGCGACGCGCTTGACCCAGTTCAGACACTGGTTACATGTATATGAGCGCGTAACGTGTATGTATTTAAAACACATAGCATTTGTGCTTCATTTTAGGCAGCGACTGAGAGAGCCCCCAAGGTGGAATTCAGCCACAACCCGGCCCCAGGCGTGACCGCCGGTGGCATCCTCGCTTTTTGTAAACTCGCGGGGAGTGGCGGGTGACGGCAGTGGGCGCTGGCGGGCTCTCAGTGCCACAGCCCACTGTCCGGGTGTCACTGGTGGGGGTCAGCCTGGAGCGGTGGCCTCCAAGTCTGCGCTCGGGGGTGGGGCGCAGTACGAGCGCCCGTCAGAAGGTGGCGTCAGAATTTCGTCGACGGCGTTCGTGGCACATTGGGGATGCGTGGCACACGGGGCGTGAGACCCCACCTCCACGTGGGGGGCGGGCGGCCTGTGTGTCTCGCATCGAGCCCATGCGAGGCCCAGAGTGCCAGACCGTGGTGGTTCGATGTCTCTGGTGGCCCAGCCCGCTCTCCCTGCTGGAGGAAAGGAGGCTTGTGTTTTGGACAGAACTGACCTGCCTGATCTGATGTGAAGTGATAACACCAGGCAGGCAGGCACTGTTGTTGGGGAGGAGCCCCCCAGCACAAGGGTCCCTGCCAAGTGGCCACCTGGCCACAGCGAGCTCCGCCCCCACGGCGAGCTCCGCCCCCACGCCCTCGAAGTGTGCGGAGCCTGGCGCCACGCAGAGCGGAGGTGAGGTGACCGCGGCACTGCGCTCCCAAGGGAGGCGGCCCTTCCCAGGCTTCGGCACAAGATGCGGCTCCGAGCGGGGCACCGGGACAGACATGGCCGCGTCTCCGGGTTGGGGCGTCCGAGGGGAGGCGCGTTGCAGATGTGCTGTGTGACTCAGGTCGCGCCAGACACTGAACTGTGGCTCTGTTTCTTTCTTTGCAGAGGAAGAAGGCGGGGACCTGGTCCAGCCGGGCATCAGCTTCCCGGGGCCGGTGGAAGAGGACCTAGGTAGGGCTCCGGGACCAGCCCTGGGCGCGCGGCGGCCATCGCAGACTCTCGGGCAGGACCGCCTGCCCCTCTGTACACGTGAACCTTTCTACTAACGTGTTTGAGCATGTGTCTGACTTCAGAGACCTGAGTGAAATGGGAGGTTTTACGAAATGGTAGTTTACAGACATTCTGGAATTTTAGGCAGGAACACGGCATGTATTAATCACTAAAGCAGATTATTGTTACTAGTTATTTAGGCAGATTACTAACATTACTAATGCAGGTCTGCACATGTGAACACCACCTCTCTCCTCGTATGCTTCGAGGTGAACTCTTGCTCCCGAGTGAACCGCAGGACATGAAAGTTCTTTGCGTTTTTTTCCAAGCAGCTCTGTGCCTTGACCGTCAAAGGGCCGATTTCTCTGGGCAGACTCGGGGCGCTGTGGGCAGAGGCTGACCGGCACTGCCCCTGTCGCCGTGGGTGTTGCCTGAGCCAGAGAAGGTCACGTGGAAATTGTGGTGCTGTGCCACACCGGGAAGCTGGGGCTGGAGTTGGCTGTTGTCTGACATGGAAGTGTGTTTGCATAAAAAGGCGAAAATCTGTTAGAAATGTCAAGTGCTGGGTGAACACATCAGAGAGCAAGCGCGAAGGTTGCTGTGGGTGGCACTGGGCTCTGGGGCCCCACCAGGCTCAGGGCTGCACCGTGCAAGTCAGTTTATGTTTAAATTTGAATTTTTTAAAATTTACTTCAGATTTTTCTCCAATCAACCTGTTGCCCGTTGGATTGACTTAAAAGTGTTGGAAATTGAAGGAGTCCATTTGTACAAAGCTGTAATTTCTTTTAGAGAAAATGAGAAACCAAAAAAATTTGCTTTTTGATTTAAAATGAGGACACCAGGAATGGTTCTGAAAGGACAATGTATCGTCTACTGTAACTAGATTAGGAATTTACGAGTATTTTCCTAATACTCATAAGTTTCTAGAAGTTTCCAAAAATAGTGGCCTGGTGCAAGAGACTAACAAAATGTGTTCGTTTACTAAATCCTTAGTGGAGCTGTCCCTGCTGTCCCTGCCACCCCCCGACCCCCCCACCCCACCCGCAACACCTCCCCCTCCCCCTTCACCTCCAAGTCCTGCAGCAGCTGCTGGGGAGGGGGGGGAGGGGGAGGGCCTGGCCGCAGGGGAGGGGAGATGCCTGTTACTCCAGGGACCGTTCTGAACGGTGGACTTCATTTCAACCATGTCAGGTTAAAACCTTGGTTCTACACAGACACATTAAGGCTGGTTCCCCCGTTACTGAGTGAGGGTACTGGGGCATTTCGTTTAAGTGGCTGGAACGCATTCCCTCCCTTTTCTCCGAAATGTCAGCCTCGGAGTGGCTTGCAGCCGCTGAGCTGGACGGCCGCCCGGCGCACGCCAGGGCCTGCTGCCTGGCCAGGCTGCTGCCTCAGACATGAAGTTTCACGGGCCCCATGGTGCCTCCACGCGCACACGCTCCGCCCTCCTCTGTCCGGGCGGCGCATCAACAGCAGCAGTCGATTCCTCACAGCCTGGAAGCTGGAAACATGGCCAAGGTCAGGGTCAGGTTCCGAGCTGCCCCTTCCTGTCCTCTGGCTGCGTCCCCACAGGGGCGGGGAGGGCTCGGTGGGAAGGAAGCAGGTGCTTCCAGGTGTGTGTGTGGACACACACGCGCACACACAGACTTGAACAACCGCCTGTGAAGTCTGTTTCTCCTTTCAAAGCCGGTCTCTTGAAATGACACTTTAATGACAGCAGTTGAGGGAGGCTGGCGACACCCCAGATAAGGAAATGGTGGCTCTCGCACGGGAGTGGTCTCGGGCGGGGAGGCTCGGGAAGGGCGGAAGGAGAGGGCGACGGACGGGGTCGGTCCGGGGGGTGCAGCTCGTCGAACCCCCCTCTCCCGTGGGGGGCTTTGTTTTCCCTCATTGCTGGATGGTTTAAGTGTTTTTCACATACTCACTTTTCCACGTGTGAATCATTTTTGTTTTTCAGTGGCAGTGGACATATGTTATTGCAGTAGTTTCAGGGGTGCACCCCAGGGGCGAGGCGTCAACCTACTAAGCGATCGTCCTGACAGATCTCGTCCCAGTCTGCCTCCGCGCGTCGGTGATAGCCGACCTTTTTCACCTCGTGGCACACTTGTACTAGTTACTGAAATTCTGTGGCGCGCCCAAAAATGTAGTTTTTGCCAATCAGGCAAGAAACAGACCAATTGTTGATATTTACATGACCTAGATTTTTAAACTGCAGATTGCAACTCAATGAGCTGTGAATTCAAGTTCCTGAGTCACTAGCAGAAATTTTTTTTAATAGAAAAAGGACGGGAATGTACAGAATTTATAGAATAGAAAACATCAAAGTACATCCCACGTAAGAGTAAGTGTTGCCTACATGTGCATGTGCGTGTTGAGAAGCACACTGTGCTCTGGGCCCGACAGACGCGGGAGCCGCAGGCGGGGGGTGGGACTCGGGCGAGGCCCTGTGTGCCCCCGACCAGGCAGGCGCTAGCGCGGACGCCGCCTGCCTGGGCAGCCGGTGAGCTGCTTGATTTCCACGAGGCCTTTATGCCTCGTTTATTCACAGAAAGTGGGTGGGTGACGGGACTGATCCCCACTGCCCTGGCCGGGCGGCTCCGGTGGCTGGATCGTCTTCCAGGCGCCAGAAGCCTGTGGTTTTGATTCTTGGTCGGGCTTGTACAGGAGGCAGCCGATCCGTGTTCCTCACTCACATCAAGGTTTCTCTCTTTTCCTTCCTCTGTAAAATCAATAAACATTTATTGATGTGAGTGTGTGTGTGTAATTAGCAGTGTGCGTGATCCAGCATGAAACAAACTATAAATGTTCATAAATTCCTAAACGTTAGCCAAGACTGTGGTTTGAATGGATGGAATCTTCCTTTTGGCTGTGAAGGTAAGAAACGTCCAGACCTGCACAGAATTTCTACACATTTTGTTGAGCCAAGCGGACGACCATCGCGGGGAAGCAAAGTCCCCGTGGACGGAGGAGACGCTCCCCAGAGTGATGGCCTCACAGCCTGTTTTGTACGTTGGAGTCGCAGACGGCGTAAGGCTCCCTGAAGCCCGTGGCCGCGGGCCAGGGAGGCAGGAGGAGGCCGAGTGGGGAACCTCCAGGACTGGATCAGCGTGACGGATGGCACGCGCGCCCTTCGCATCGGCGGGGACAGGGCCGTTCACGGACAGCACTGACGGCCGGAGGGAGACATCGCGACAAGACAGCGTGGGGGCCTTGCGGTCTCTGCTCTGGGGGAGCCTGTGCCCCGAGGGGTCTGGAAAGGAGGGCCACCGTGACGTCCCAAAGGGGTGTCCCGGACAGGCCCAGGCCAGGCGGGGACCCCGGCCTCTGTCGGGGACATCGCTGGCCCAGGAAGTGACCCCCCCGCCACCTGCGTGCGCTCGGACGGCCTTGCGCAGTCCCTTCCAGCCTCGGAGTCAGCCAGGCCCCCGCAGGCCGCCCCGGCTGTGCTGGGCTCGGGGGCAGCCCTGCTTCATCCGCGCGGTCCGTCCCGTCTCCAGCCTGAGGGTGTGAGTCCTGTGCCTGTGCATGCGGGTTTGTCCCCCAGGGGTTCACTGGATTCAGCTGCTCTGGTCGCAAAAGCAGGTGCCTGTGTCCCTCCAGTAGGACCCGTGGGGGCACGTCAGGGCCTCGGGGACAGGGCCCTGCCAGCCGCTGCTTATGGGGCCAGAGCCTTTGCCGAGGTGAGTGGTGGCCTCCGGACAACGGGCAGCGGGGGGCCCACGGCTGTGACTGCCACCCCCAGACCGGCGTCCCGTGTAGCCGCTGAGCTGTCCCTGCTTTGCTGCTGCTGCACGAAGCCTTCCTCGGAATGTGTGGGTGTCAACGCCCCAGGAAAGAGGATGGGATTTGTTCTGTCACCAGTGGACCTGCTGCTGCACGAGCTGCTCCCCACACGGCAGGCTCCTGGCGGCAGCGGCCACAGCTCAGCCAAAGGAGCCCCTTCCCCGACCGGAGCCCCCCTTGCCCGGAGAGCCTGGCCACACCTGCCCGTTGGCACCATGCTCACCTGCTGGGCAGGCCTCCCACCTGGCCGTCACGCGTCCTGTTTGAACGGCTGACCTCGCGGTTTGGCGGGTGGGCCGTCAGCCGCTGTTCCAACACCCCACCGGGAGCTGTCACCGCTGTCTGCGTGCGGCTCTGTGTGCGTGACCGCCCTCCGGCGACCTGTGTGAGCCTCAGACAGGACATCAGACTCCGCGGCAGACAGCGCAGCGGTGCCGCTGACCGTGGCTGGGACCGCGCGGCTCCAAGACCGTGCTCTTGTGACGGAACTTAAGTCACTGAAAGGGAAAGGCAGACGGAGTGACTGAAAGCACAGCAGGGCCCTGGGCACTGCCCTCAGCTCTACGCTCGCCGTGCAGACGCGGCCGGGACCCCAGCAGGGCCTGCTCTTCAGACGGGCTCTGGGGCTTGGCGGGCTCGGCCGCAGAACCTCTCACTGCTCGGAGCGACGCCAGCCTTAGCGTCAGGCTGGGGACGTGAGTGTTGCCAAATGGCCCGACGGGACCTCCGAGCAGAGTCCACCGCCCCCCACCCCTGCCCACCAGCCCCCGGGGCTCACACGTCTCGTGCTGAGCACGGCCTCGGGGACAGGCCGTGCGGGGCGCGTGGAATAACAGGAACAGTCAGGAACAGTGCTCTCGGGCGGGAGGAACGCGCCGCGCGCCTCCCTGCACGGACAGGTGAGGCTGGGGCATCCTGGGCCGGCCCTGGGGGTGGCCTGGGGAGCGGGGGCGGAGCCAGGGCTTACAGGGTGGGTAAGCTGGAAAGTGGGGACACTCCAGCCACTGACATTTGGGTGGATGAGGGCAGAAGGGGCACAAAGGAAGGGCCGTCGAGGTCACTGTGGCCCCCGTGGCAAGAACCGAGGGTCTCAGCCAGGGCAGGGCCCAGGAAGGCAGGGGATGGGGCAGAGAGGGAGAGCCACAGGCCCCCTTCTCCCACGTGGGCTGGGCGCCCGGCCACCTTCCTGGGACAGACGCACAGAGGACGGCGCCCGGCCACCGTGACTCCGGTGCCAGGAGACAGGCCCTGCGGCGTCACGGGCACAGCCTCCGGGCTCCCGCAGACCAGGACAGGGCACGGGGGCGGGGCCCGGAGAGGGGGGCGCCACACCCCCGCCCCCGAGTCCTCGTGGGGGGCGTTGGGGGCTGTGGAGAGGAGCTAGCCCGGGCCACAGGAGCTGGCTGGTCTCCCCTTCCCCACGGAGACCACCGTGCCGAGCAGCCCTGGGAGGGACGGCAGAGCTGGGCAGCGGGGCCCCCTGCAGGCTCCCCCCGAGACCACCACTGGGCCCCTGGCCGTGCAGACTCTTTCCGCCTCTTCGTCAGAACTGGCTTCTCTAGCCCGCGGGTCTGCCTGCGTCGTACCCACTGCCTGTGCCCCGTGCAGAGGCACCGGCACATGAGATGCTCGCACGGCACAGGTGCACATTACGAACGTGCACCACACGGACAGACTGCGTGCACACGGGAAGTGCTGTGCTAGTCTGCTTCCTGTGGACGTTGTGTGGTAGGCCTGTTGTATGCTATACACACACATTATAGATGCATCTATACGTTATAGGAGGTCTATCCAGAAAGTACGCAGCCATGTACTGTGTCAAACAGAGACATTTACAGAAAAAGATACGAGATACAAAAGACACATTGTACACAGGACAATTGCGCCTCAGGCCCCTTCAAAGGAGGCCCCCGGGGCCTCGCGCCGGTCTCCCCGTCGCCCCCAGCTGCCCCGTCGTACTTTCCTGAATCTCACCGAGGGTCTGACGTCTCTCTCCTGTCCAGGGGGATTTCACTTTGGGGAGGCCGGGAGTGCTTGTCGACAGCACCCCCTACGCGGGCGGACCCGGAACAGGGGTCACTTTCAGCAGCCTGTCAGCCATCTCTGAAGCGTATGTGCCACAGTTTTACTTGTGTTGCGCTCATTGCGTCGTCCCCGAAAGTCTCCTGCAGCACCCCAGTAGTCTCCTCGGAGGAGCGTTCGAGCGTAACCTGAAATCTGGTGCAGATTTGTGTCTCCGCTCACTCAGGCCCTTTGACTGCAGCGGCTACACAGCGGGCGTGCGGCACCTACCGCCCCCACTGGCCGGTACAGTTACGTCGTCACTGTCCGCACGTGCGCGTTCCAGGCCCCTCTCCTTGGCTGCCAGGTCACATCAATGGCATGCAAAGGTCACATTAACACTGGCTGGGCTCCTGGGCAGACCTCGTATGTTCAGACTCTAGATGCATATTATACATGGATGTGTGCGTAATATAGACAAAGTATATATGCACGTTATGTACTGTAATAGAGCCTTATATTTCCTATATATTATATGCCTTACCCCATTATATATGCATATAATACTCAAATCAAATGTATTTTTTTTCCTTCAAATGGTTTATTTGCTTAATACCACAAAATCTTGCTCTCAGGGGACCTGATGAATGTAGGGTACAGAAAATACTTATTGTAAAACAGCATTGGGATCGTGGAAGTTTATTCTCCTTGAGATTCTTGTACTTTGAAGCACTCGACGTGGTATAAAAAAGCACTGCCCACGCAAGTGCCCAGACCAAGTGACCACTGACCCCCAGATAGAACAGTTCAGCCGTGGGTGTCTGACGTGGGTTCCGTTTGCCGACACGTCAACCTCCCCCACCCCGGGCTCATGAGGCATTTCTGTGCTCTCTCTGCAGACCAGCAGTATTCGTGGCCGCCCGCTCCGCACTTCAATGAGGAAAGATACTCCCCTGCCCCCAGGAACATGAAAGGGCTGTCCGGGAGCCGGAACCCGCCCCCCCTGTGCTCGGGCCACACCTGCGGCCTGGCGCCCCCCGAGGACTGCGAGCACCTGCACCGCGGGCCGGGTGTGCGGCAGCCCTACCTGCTCAGCCCCGCGGACGGCTGCCCGCTGGACCGCCGCCGCTGCTCGCCCCGCAGCTCCGTGCACTCCGAGTGCGCGGTGCTGCCTCTGGTGCTGGCCGACCACGTGTCCAGCAGCACCTTCCCCAGGATGCACTGCAGCTCCCACTACGACGCCAGGGACGACTGCGCTGTGGCCCACGCCAGCGCAAAGGCCAACCGCATCCCCGCCAACCTCCTGGACCAGTTTGAGAAGCAGCTGCCGCTGCACAGGGACGGCTTCCACACGCTGCAGTACCAGAGGACTTCCTCCGCCAACGAGCCGCGCGGCGAGAGCCCCGGGCGCATCCGGCACCTCGTGCACTCAGTGCAGAAGCTCTTCACCAAGTCCCACTCCCTGGAGGGCTCCTCCAAGGGCAACATCAACGGGGCGAGGGGCGACGGCCGGGGCGAGGACCACCACGGCCACCACCCCAAGCACAGCAAGCGGAGTAAAAGCAAGGACCGGAAGCCTGAGAGCAAGCACAGGTCGGGCCTGAGCAGCTGGTGGAGCTCCGACGACAACCTGGACAGCGACAGCACCTGCCGGGCCTCCAGCGTGGTCAACAGGCACCTGGCGGACCACGCCCCCCACTGCTACCCGGAGCCGCTGCCGGGGCCCTTCGGGGACCTGTCCCTGAAGACGTCCAAAAGCAACAACGACGTCAAGTGCTCCGCCTGCGAGGGCCTGGCCATGACGCCAGACGCCAAGTACATGAAGCGCAGCTCCTGGTCCACGCTGACTGTGAGCCAGGCCAAGGAGGCCTACCGCAAGAGCTCCCTGAACCTGGACAAGCCCCCGGCGCCCCCGGAGATCAGGCCGCCCCTGCGGCCGTGCCACTACCTCCAGGTAAGGAGCCCGGGGGCGGGGGCCACGTGCCCGGCGGTCTTCGCGGCACCCTCGGGGGGCCGCCCTCGAACACACACGGGGGACCCGTCCCTGGAGGGCCCTTGGGCTGCAGAGCCGGCAGCGGGTCAGGTCCGCCCGCAGCAACGCTTCCTGGTCCAGAGGCGGCCGGCGCAGCCTGGGGAAGGGGCCTGCGGCGCAGGGAAGTTCCCGGATCCCCGCGACGGCAGCGTTGTGGGTGCGATTCCGGGAAGGGCCCCTCCCGTCCCTCTGGGCCCACATTGAGTGTGTCTGCTGGAGGCCAGCGCGGGTGGGGGGCCGCAGTGGCAAGAGGCGGCGGACCGTGGCGCCCTCTGCTTCCCGTGACGCCCTCTGCTTCCCGTGACGCCCTCTCACCCGCCTCCAGCCCCGCCAGCCCGGGGCGTGAGGGGCCGTGGTGGCCTCTGGAGGCGCCCCTGGGTGCTTCCGGGAGCGCCCGGCCCAGCGGCCGCGCCGGGAGCAGGGCGGGGGTGGGGGGCCAGGCGTTCGTCTCTGACACGCGAGTTCCTCGCGCTCCGTGGCTCGCGCTCGCGCGCCCGCCTGAGTGCAGTCCCGGCAGCCGGGCCTCTGGTGAGCGGGCCCCTCAGGGGTCGGGGGCCAGCACTGCGGCGACTGCCACTGCCGTCCGGGCCCATCCGCCAGACCCCTGGTCCTGTGTGAAAGGCGGCGCTAGAGCCGCGTTGCGTTCGCAGGCAGGGTTTTCCAGAGGCAAACGGGTGGGGGGTGACGTTTTTACAGCAGAGTAAAAGAGGCGAGTTTTGCGTGCGGCTGACAAGCTGTGACCCTGTGCAGACATGAAAGGACCCCCTGAACGTGCCACAGGGGAGGACACCAGGCTTCTCATGGTCCCTGTCAGAGGCGCGGACCTCTGGCTCCTCTGCCTGTCACCGGGAGTCTCCAGCGACCCCTGGAGGTGTGAAGGTGGCGCTGCAGCCCTGGGCATCCCCACCGGCCGCAGCGGCTCTGCCGCCTCCCACCAAAAGCCCCTCTGCCTGCTCCCCACTCTCCCTGTGGAACTCCCTCTCCTTGGCCCTCCAGCCGCCCTTCCTGACGTTTTAATTAGAGAAAACACTGACCCTGAAAAACGGTAAGATTGTCAGGTCACGGGCCGCCTGTGCTGGGCACACAGCTTCAGAACCTGCCAGCACGTGGCCACACCCGCGTCTCCGGGACACTCACACCTGCCTGTGCCGGGCCTCTGAGGCAGGTCCCATGGAGTCCAGTGACTGTTCCGTGCCTGCCGGTCGGGAGCCACCCGGCGGTCAGGGCTCTTCCTCTGGCGTCGTGCCTGTAACGCCGTCACCACACACTGAAGGGGACACCAGCTCTGAGGGCCGCGGACCCGCAGGCCACGTTTGGGAGCCGGCCAGTCCGCCGATGCGTCTTGCGTCTCGTGCCGCCCACGCTGGCCGCCCCGCAGCATCACCCGCCCTGCAGCTCCCATGCCCGGGGTTTCTCAGTGGTCGCTGTGAGGTCACGAAATGTGTTGCCTTGTGGACACCCTCCTCCGCCCCAGTAGGTGCCAGGGGTGGGTGGGGCTCCAAGGTGCGGGCAAGAGGGCCGGCTGGGCTGCAGCCCTGCCCAACACGTCCCCAGGCGTCAGAATGCTCGGCCCGCCCATAGTAGTGTGCAGAAAACGTCCCTCCCTCCCTCGGTGTCAGCGTGAGGCCGCCTGCCCCTGGGTGCGGCTCGGCAGCTTCTGCCCTAACATCTGTCCTCGTGATGACCGCTGGCCCGCGAGCCCCCGAGCGTGCTCACGTCTCTCCGGTGCTATGCCCCCACCGCCCACAGCCCGGTGCCCAGGTGCGCTGAGCTGGGCGAGAACATCGTCTACTGAGAAGGCCCCTCAGGTCCTACGGAATTTGCAGGGAGCCCTCCAGGCTCCATGGATTCCTGACACGTCTGTGTAGTTGCTTATGAAGCGTTCCTGCCCATACGGCGGCTGGCGTGTAGACATACCAGAGCGTCCTGCTTGTGACGAAGGCATGAAACATCTCCTCAATCATGTCGAAACGAAACGCACGGGCAGGAGAGCCGCACGCCATGTCCGTTTCCTTACGCGACGTGTCCAGGCCTGAGTGCGACAAACAAGAGGAACGTAGCTTTTGACTAAGAGCGCGACCTTTCACACACAGGTGCCGGGCACCGCGGCAGGCGCGCGTGGAGCGGGGAGTCCGCCGCCTGGCCCCAGGTGAGGCGCCCCCTCGGCAGGTGAGGCGTCGGGGTGGCCGGTTCTCAGCGGTGGGCTCTCCAGAGACGGTACCTGTTCTCAGTCAAGCGCTACCTCAGACAGAGCCCCCCCGCCCTTGAGCCGCGTGGTTAGCCGCCTCCCTGGAAACGTCGGTGTTCATTAAAACCAAGGGGGGAACAACAGCTTGGTGTACGTATAGAGGAGAGTTGGGCCTGAGGCTCAGGCAGGCACAGACAGAAAACACGCAGAATCCCACGCCACACGGAGCAGGTGCCGCAACTTCTCGGACTCCCCCAGACCGGTCCCGTGGGCGCCGGACACTGCGTCCGCACAGCCTGTGGCAGCCATGACTGGCCCAGAGGGGCTCCAGGCCTGCCCCCCGGCGTCCCCGCTGGCACGTGGGGGTTTCCTGTAAGGTCGGGCAGCTCAGAGGCCAGCGCCTTGCTCTGGGGGTCCCCTGGCGATGGTGGCGGGCTGCGCGCGTGAAACAGTGCGTGGAGCCAGTGAGGAGGGCCGTTCCTCGGGGAAGCGCAGCGCGTGGCGGCGGTGGTCTCCCTCGGTCACCAGGAGACCTGGCCCTTCCCCCCGGTGCCCGTGCACCTGCTTGAAAGCAAGGTATCTCGCACGGGGCGGAGCCGAGGCGCCCCGGGGGCCAGAAGCAGAAGACGCCGGCTGTGCACGTTGTGAGCCTCAGGAAGACGGCAGCTCAGAAATGGTGGCTGCCCTGTCACTCAGCCGGGGGTCACGAGGCCGTTCCCTAGCGTGGGACGCAGCGTGTTCTCTGCACCGGGCGCTGGGGGGATTTGCCCACTCATCGCCGGCTGGCCGCTCGGCGTCACCAGGGCCCTCTGCAGGCCCTGTGACAGTCCCTGCATGCGCTCTGGAATCGCGTCCATAGTCTGTCCCCAACTCTGGTTGACACTCCTTCTGTACCGACGCTGCTGCTGTCGAAGATGCGATACTGGCTTCTGAAATCAGACACAGAAAAACACAGGCTGCTGGTCAACCATTCTCACTTTGTTTCTTATGGAAACACATTTTTAATTCACAGAAATTGTGCAAGTGGCCGGCGGGACGTCTCTCTCCTGGCAGGCGGCCTTCAGCCCCCTGCCCCTCCGCCCCGCTTCCTCCCTGGGATGCCCAGCCGCCTCCTCCCAGCGCAGGGACAGAGCCGGGGCCGTTGCCGCTTCGGCCGCACCTCCCTGCTGCTCAGACTCAGATGAGTCCGGACCCCAGGCCCCCACTTGTGAGGAGCCCCCACCAGGCTACTGGCTTCTGTCTGCAGCTTCCGGGGACCTCCCCCTGCTCCGCCTGCTTCTGCTGATGAAACCGTAATTCCCTGGGTGTTACGTCTGTCTCCTCTCCTGAAACGATTGCCCTTGCAGGCGGGCTTTCTTAAATTGGAAGTGTTTATTTTATATCACAAATTCATGGTCCATGTAGAAAATTTAGGAAATGTTACGTAGGAAGAGAAATAATCGGGGCCCATGGTGCTGTCTCTCCTGCTGACCCACGGCCTCCCCGCTGCACCGCGTGCACAGGGCAGCCGGATCTGCTTTTGAGTGTTAGAAATGCCAGTGCTGTCGGCCTGAAATCACCCCCTGCTTGTGAGCTCCCCCACCCTGCACATGTGTCTCCGGCACCATGGCTGTCCGGGCGGAACGGCATCCACTGTGCAGCCGGGGTTCACGTTGGAAACCGCCCCCCGCGGAGCATTGCCAGTGCCCCCTCCTCTGGCCCTGAGGCGGCGTTCAGCGGTCGGACCCTGGGGTCCGGGGACACCTGCAGGGTGACGTGGCCTGGCCGCGGCCCCGCACAGTCGGCAGTCGGTGGCTCGGTTCACCGAGCCGCTTGCGAGGGGATGGGACACTGCTCCCTCCTCCTTCAGGCTTAGGGACCTGGCGCGGGGACCACCAGGGGACCACCAAGTGTCGGGGTTTATACCTCCTCCCTGCCGGGCACCCTCGCAACATGGACGCTTCCTCCCCCTGGCGTTGGTCCCTCCTCCTCCCCCTCCACAGGGCGACGCTTTTGTCCTCCCGCGCTCTCGTGGTCTCGGTCCCATGGCGCCGGAGGGACACCGCTGTGAATGTCCTTGTCAGGCTGGGGTGACGGGGCCCCTCGTTCCGCAGTCCTGACCTGCTCTCCCTTCCCCCACACCCCGGCCCTTGCAGGGTCTCCGCGGCAGCGCAGCCCGCGGCCCCCATCTGGGCTTTGGGGCTTGGACAGGGGCCGGCTGTGGCGACGGGATCAAGGAGGACTTGTCCCCAGAACAGCCGCGACAGGGCCCTCGGGGACAGGCTGACCCGGTGTGTCCGTTCTCTCCCAGGTGCCGCAGGACGCGTGGGCAGGGTGCCCGGTCGGGGGCAAGGACGAGATCCCCTGCCGGAGGATGCGGAGCGGCAGCTACATCAAAGCCATGGGCGACGAGGACAGCGGGGAGTCCGACTCCAGCCCCAAAACGTCCCCGACGGCGGCCCTGCGGCCGGAGCCCCTGCTCACGTCGCTGGCAGGCCTGCGCACGTAAGGCCCCCCGCGCCGAGCCCCGCCCGCGCCTCGCGCCTCAGCCCCCCCGGGCCTGCGGTCCCCACTGAAGGTGGTCTCTGAGGTGGAGGCACTAGGCTCTGTGGCCCTCCGTGTGCAAGTCCTTTCAGAAAAAGCCAGGCCTCGGGTTGTTCGCTGGGCGCTCACGAAGGAGCTAACGCGGGTGGGGTCTGCGTCGGACGTTAACTCGAAAGCAACTGCCACAGCCAGCGAGGTCCCCCGAGGTCTTCTCAGATGGACCCCGTAGTTTTCTCAGGAGCTCACCTGGGAGTGTGTGGGTGTGCACACGTGTGGGTGTGCACACGCGTGGGTGTAAGGGGTGTGTGAGAATCACAGGGGGACTTCTTTTTCACTCTAACTTCATAAGTGAATTTGTAGGCAACCACTTTCATACTGGGTGAGGGCAGGAAATGGAGGCGTTTTGCTGCACATGCTATTACATTATTGATAAGTGTCCGCAGTGGAGAAAACCGTTCAGCGACGCGTCTGCCCTTGCTCTCGGCAGCCACGCTGGGGGTGCGCCCGGTCCCGGCAGCGTGGTTTGGGTACGTGGGGAGAACCGCGCAGGCCCGGTCGGGGCGGTCAGCCGTCCTGAGTGAAGGCCAGCGGTGGGGCGAGCTAGCCTGCCGGGGTTTGCCAACGCTGCCCCCGAGCTGTGCGTCCTGACACTTGGAGGAGGTCGTCCAGGCCTTGTTTTGGAGACACGCCCCCCCCGCGCCCAGGGCACCGAGTAACGAGCCAAACGTTGGTGGGACTTCCACAGTCCTCATTTGACATTCGCTTCCGGGAGGAAAAATAACTTTGAATTGAAACCAGAGTCAAAATTGGGAGTTTAACTGGCGTGAACCGCGTCTTTATTACCGAGCTCCGTTCAACCGCCCAGCGACTGTGCAGCTGACCGGAGGGGTGCGGCCAACACCCCGTCTCCCTCCGCAGCGTGTGCCGGGCTCGGGGGCCAGACGCTGGGCAGGGAGCAACGGGCACAGAGCCGAGGCCCCGCCCCACACGCGCGCGCATGTAGGGGACGTGGGGACACAGCCTGTGGGCAAGGAGACCGCTGGGAGCAGCGACTGCAGGGCTGCATCAGGGTCTGTACGGCGTGTGGGGCACCCCGCCACCCCGCCACCCCGCAGTCAGGGGAGGGACCCGACATCAGCCCGCCTGCTGTTTGGGGACCTGAGACACGGGGCGGCAGCACGATGCGCGTGGGGCCGAGCCGGCCTGGGGTCCGTGCCTCCGGCCGGGTGGTCAGGTCGGCGTGAACCTCCTTCTCGTTCGGGAAGTGTGTGACCCCCCGCGGCCGCAGAGGAGACAGAGGACGCCGGCGGAGGGCGGCGTGCGGGAGGGGCCGGCGCTGGCGAGGTCCTCGTCCTCCTGCCTCGCCTGGCAACCCCCAGACGCGAGCGCGCGTGCCCCGCGCCCGCCACGGGCTCCTTGCCCGCAGCACCGAGGTCCCCTCCTTCCTCGCAGTGAGAGGCCGGCCTGGGCCTCGTCTCCAGGACGGCCCAGGCTCCCGCCCCCAAGCCCAGGGCGACGGGGTTCAGATTGATGCTCAGAAACCCATCCCTGCCAAGAGCACGAAAACACCCCCAACACCCACGGACTTTGCTTTCCTCCACGTGGATTCTAACTCATGCTGTTCTGCACGACGTCGCCTCCTTTCCCTTAAAACTCAGTCAGAAGCTGAACTCTGAAGCAAGTCGAATGGCAGAAGAAAGATTTTTAGAAAGACGCTGGCTCTTTCGCTACATCCTTCAGAACATCGAGTTCTGGTAACACTTAACATCCCTCGCAGCGTGACCGGTCAGGACGAGGGCGGTCTCTGTCCCTGTCCTGGGCGCCCGGGGGCACTTGCAACACAAACAGCCCACCTTGCTGGGTCAGCGCCCTTGGGGGGCCGCCGAGCACCAAAAGCAGCGCTTCCAGGGCACGTGTGCCCTGTGGCCCAGGCGGGGGCCGGTCTGCCTGCCTCTCTCTCCCTAAGTACAGTCCCTTATTGTGGCCTCTGTCGTTTGGCTTCGTTGGAAGAACAAATTATAAGGAAAGACGTTAGCAAATGGCCTGGAAAAAATAAACATCCGAAATGCTGAATGTCAGGGTTTAAATCAACCTCCTTTTTCCCGGTTGCACGCAGCGGTTCCCGGTGTGAGTGCTGGAAGGAAGGCCGGTTAGAAGGCCGGCCCCCGGCCCCACCCCGCTGCTCACAGGCTCTGGGGCAGAGCCGGCAGTGCCGGCAGGTTCCCTGAGGACACAGTGGCTGCAGGAGTCCCAGGGACACCTTGAGCATCGGGAGGTGGCGCAGCCGCGAGGAGGCTCCGTGAGCCTGTCGTGGCCTCAGGGACAGGCCGAGAAGGGATGGGGGCCCCGGACAGTGCCCCCCGTGCGGTCCGAGGTTGACCGGGTTTCCACTGGAGCACGAGACGGGACAAGCAGGCCTCCGTCTCCCGAACTCAGGGCTGGGAGGACACTTTGGTCTAAAACACTGAAACCGGGCGATTAATCTGAGTTTATGTAAAACATGCGCTGAAGACATCGGGGTGATGCCCGTGTGCTCAGAGGAACACAGCACGCGTGTGCCCCCACGTGTGTCCTCACTCTGTGTAGAATATTCCACCCCCGTGGGACCCAGCGACACTCAGCCCCCGGTCACGCCGGGTCCGCCTGATGAGGACAGACAGACGCCGTGCGTGTGGTCGCACAGTCAGTGCAGAGAGAACGTCCCCTGTCCTCCCCCGTGTGGCCCGCGTGGCGCCTCCGGAGGGGGCGGCGGGTTTGCCTGGGTGTCCGGGTGTTTCCTGGGAAGTAGCCCGTGTTCTGTTCTGTGGGTCTGATCTCCCAGGGAGCAGAGGCCGCCGGGGGTCTGTGAGCCCGTGGCCCAGCCCGGAGCTCTGCCCCGTCGGCCGACGGGGGTGCAGGCAGGGCCCCGGGGGCTGTCTCCTCTCTGCAGTCGCTTTCCACTCCTGTCGCTTCCGAGGCAGGGCCTGGCGTCATCGAGGCGGTGACTCTAAGGCAGCGTCACGTGAAAGGGAAAAATGCTAAAAAAAAAAAAAAAAAGTTCTCGTGTCATTCTAGGGAACTTGTTAGGGTCACCTTTTAAAATTCCCTGAGCTGCCACCAAGTCTGTACCTGAAAATACATTTTCATCCTGACAACCGAGGGGAAGACCGAGAGGCTTAGAGGGGATTTCAGGATGATAGGGGTTCCTCGGGCAGGTTTCTAGCGAACAGCAGGGAGGACCCTGGACGGGGTCCCGCCAGGTGCTGCGTGGGGGCGGGGGGGTGGCCCCAACCAGTCTCAGTGTCTGGTTCTCTGTCCCCAGGTCTGTGAGTTTTCAGGATATCCAGCCTTCTTGGTCACTGCATTATAAAACGCTAAACCGCTGTAGTGAAAACAATTCTATTAAATGTAACAAGCGTGAAACTAGAGGACCAGGCCTCTTGGCTCTGCTCCTGGGACCCAGCAGCTAAGTTCTCAGGACTCGGGCGAAGGGGCTGGGGCTGGGGCTGAGGCAGCGGCAGCTGGCCTGGCCCCCAGCCCCGCACGGCCACTGCGCTGTGTGAGCCTGGGCCACGGTCGTGCCAACCGTGCCTCAGTCTCCCCGTGGGCGCGACGAGGGTGTGAATGGCCCCACCCAGTGGGATTCTCATGAAGATCAAATGGGTCAGCACAGTGCGGAATTCTCTCAGGTCGTCCAGGACGTGGTGTGTGCCCAGTGCCCACTGAGGTCTGTGTGTAAAAGAAGCGCGTATGTTATTACCTCTCTGCAACAGCAGCTTTCCTGTGAGTGGCAAGCGTGGCTTTGGAATAAAGAGGATGAGTGGGAGTTCGAATAAGCGTCTCACACGTAGGACCCAAATGTGCTCCGTCTCCCGGGAATGCCGCCGGAGGTCCTGTGCTCTGTGTCTGAGGCCGCCCTTTCCCCGCCGGGGCCCGGCCCGGGCTGCACACGGGACCCCAGCAGGGGGACCCGGCTTGGGTAACCCGAGGACGTGACGGGGGGGGGGGGGTGGCGGAAAACAAGGTATCAGAACTGGTTTGCAGAAACACTTGGGATGAAACCAGCGGTTTCAAGGCCAAGGAGAAGCACAGGAGAGAAGCAGAAAGTGACATTTTTCAAAGACAAAGGCAAGCCGAGTGTCACAGAGTCTGCACAGCTGCCGGAGGGCCCTGCACGCGGCGCCGCATTGGGCGCACACACAGGCACGTGCGGATGGGGGCCCTGGCCACACGCAGGGTCCCCGAGAGCCCTGCACGCGGCGGAGTCCTGGGTACCCCTGGCTTTGCGCTGCTCCCGTGGACGGTCCGTGTGGGACAACCAGGCGGCCACGCGGGGGCGTGTGCTCCCCATCCCCCAGCCGCCGCCCCGGGGCCCACAGAGGTGCAGAGGGCCGGCCACCCCTGCTGGTGTGGGTGCAGGACCCAACCTGAAGCCAGAGGACGGCGCACAGAGAGCGGTCCCGCCTCTCAGGGCGGCGCTGGCTGAAAGCCGCCGCCTCCCCGTTCCCTTTTCTCCGCGCGGAGGGAAGGTGGGTGGCTAGACTCTGTGAGAGGCCCGGCTTTAACACAAGTTGTCGCGATGCTACACACTGCGCTCTGTTAATATATAAAACACATTACTGAAAGCTTTCACGGAATAAGTGACTCCGAATCTGTAACAACCGGGCTCGACTTACTCAGGACGCGCAATTGAGTCCAGGTTTTCCTCTGCTGCCCCGTTTTTGAAGAAGTCACAGAAGGAACAAGCTCCATCAAGGGTTTGCTGAGGCAGCGCGGGACACGCCAGCGGCCAGCTGAGGGCTGCGACCCTGCAGCGTGGGGCCTGCGCGCCTGTTTGCTCCCAGGCCTGCACGGCGACCTGACCTAGCGCGTCCGTTGCAGGAAGATTGTGTGCGGATCGTGACGGGTCCCACGTGCCCAAGGTTTAAGCTAAGCTGACCCTCCAGCTGCCTGGCTTCCCCATACGTTCGTCATTTTTCTAAATCGCCCGACGGGAAGCCAGAGCGAATCAATTTTTAAGGGAGTTCGGGAGGGAGCGGGGCAATGGTGATGCGGTGGGTTGGGTTTCGCAGCCTGCCCGTCGGCCGGACGGCTTCACCGGGACAGCGGCGCCCGAGTTGCAACGGCGGGGGGAGCAGGCCGCCCGCTTGCCCTTCTGTTTCTCTGAGAGGGTGAAGCTGCCAGAGGCTGACCTGCTCTTACAAGATTTCCATGGTTTCTGGCTTCAGCTCAAGAGCCCGGTTCTTTTTTTGGTACTTTCTTGAAAATGTGGGCGGGATCCTAATTTCCTGCCTTTCCATCAAATGTCAGGATTCAAAGGGATTTTATTAATAGCCTCCCCTGTTGTTTCCAACAAAGTTCACATCCATAAACGTCACCTTTGGGATCATCTCCGGGAGGCAAAGGTGTCTGCCCGCAAATGAGCGCAGGCTAGAAATGGGAAGCAGCTTCCCAGCATTCGTTCACACGATCCCTGGGCCCCCTGCCCCCTCCGGCACCGCTCACGGAACGTCTCTCCCCTCACCTCTGTCCTTGCAGCCAGAGCTACCTGCCCGCTGCCAGTGATGGGCCTGCCGGCCACAGCCTAGACCTCGCTGCCAACTACAGCTCCCCGAAGTTCCGCTCCCGGAACCAGAGCTACATGAGGGCGGTCAGCACGCTGAGCCAGGCCAGCTGTGTGAGCCAGGTGGGGACTCCTTTCTGCCCCTTGGCCCCTGGGTTTCATCTGCAAAGCTGTGTTATCCCAGATGTTGTCCTGCAGTGGGGGCGGGGGGGCGAGTCACAGGGATGGAAGCTCCAGGTCCGGGGTGGGGCCAGGACAGACGTGCAGTTGCCTTTCACTGATGACCAGCCTGGGAACTTTGTGACATTCCATGATCACTGAATTCCCAAAGTTTTAATTAAACATAGTCTTACCCCACTTTAACTGTCTTTTAAAAAAATAGCACTTGAAATCATGAGTTTCTCAGGCTGTCTCCCCTCACTGGGGAGGCGCCGTGGAGCAGGCTCCGGGCAGAGACCCGCCGAGGTCCCCGCGCCCCAAGCACGTCAGCCTGCGACGATCCCAAACCGCCTGGGCCCCTCGTCCCCTCGGGCTTCAGCCGCAGGTGCAGTGAGGCCGCAGCCGCCGCTGTCCTGGAACCACCGGCAGGCGCATCAGAGGCTGCTTCGTGTCCTGGACACGGCTGGTCCTCTGTCTGGCGCGCTCAGGGCCCCTTCTCCATCGGCCGCCTTTCTCAGGGCACTCAGGTGGTCAAACAGCACCCAGAACGTCATCGTCATCTCAGAATGACGAGCCCTAGAGGGTCCCAGCGCACAGTGGGTTTTCCTTGAGTGCGCTCTGCCCGCCGCACCCACAGCTCAGCGTCCGCAAGGCCACAGCTGCGGCTGGGTCTCCATAAGCTGGACGAACGCCCGCGTTCTCCACATCCCCACCGCACGCTTAGAGCAGCAGGCCTGCTGACCCTCTGCCCTTCCTGGGGACCAGGATGAGCTTGTTGCCGAGTGGGAGGTGAGTGTGCGCAGCAGCGGGGAGAGGCAGAGCGAAGGCGTCCCTGCCCTGCACGCGTCCTCTGCACCAGGTGCTGCGCTAGACCTTTAAACACGCTCTCTGTTGGTCATCGTCGCGGCCATCAGCCCCGCCTTGGGCTGGGCCTTGTGGGCCCCCGTGAGGCCAGTGGCCTCTCAGAACTGGCTGGGGCTCTCTTGTGAGAAATAACCCAGTAAGCTGTTTCCCGGGCTCAGCAGGTCACCATGTGATGTCAAACAGCCGAAAACGCAAGGCCACGGGAAGACGGGGGTGGGTCCGGCTCCCGTGGGCTGGGCCCTGACGCGGCTGGAGGGCCGGGCTGACCCCGCGCTGGCGTCGCTGTTGCCCGTTGCAGATGAGCGAGGCGGAGGTCAACGGGCAGTTCGAGTCGGTGTGCGAGTCCGTCTTCGGAGAAGTCGAATCGCAGGCCATGGACGCCCTGGACCTACCCGGGTGCTTCCGGACACGGAGCCACAGCTACCTCCGGGCCATTCAGGCCGGCTACGCCCAGGACGACGAGTGCGTCCCCGCGCTGAGGCCCTGCGCCGTCCCCTCCACCGTCCGACCCCCTGCAGGTGAGGCGCCCTTCCCCCGGCTCCTGGCGGAAACCACGCGCGTGCGCGTGCACCCTCCCCGCCCCCCGCACGGGTGGCGCGCCTTCACCGCAGGCAAGCGACAGGCACCCTGGGTGCTGGGCGACTTCCCCAAATGGCACGTGTCACGTTGTCCTGTTGGCCAATGGCGTTTTGAAACACTTCACTCACAGAGGACCTTCCTTCTTTTCAAATGAAATCTGTAACGGGCGAGGTTTTGGAAAGCGGTCCCGTCGGACTTTTGTCTGTCTGGTGGTGTGTGGGGGAAAGCGGGGGCCGGCGTTTGGAAAGCGACTGCTTTCTGAGCGTCCAAGGGAGCCGGCTGCAGGGAAGGGCCCACTTGCAGAGCCCCCCCAGCGCCTCCCAGGCTGCGTCCAGCCGAGTCCCGCGCGCTCGGGAGGCGCAGCTCTGACCGTGGTGCATCGCTGCGAGCAGGTCGATCGTGGTTGTAAGTCCTCTGCGCGTATTTGGGCTGCAGATTCAGCATCACCGTTTCCTTCGGCGTTTGTGGAAGCCACATCCACCCCACCGAAAAGTCACCCCGTGAAATAGCGTGGCCTGGAACCCTCTGCACAGCTTTTATTTTTACGTAGCACAGTGGACGCACGCTGCTGGGCGCGTGGAGAGGGAGTGTGGAGCGGGCGGTAGAACTCAGCGAAGCTGCGCCGCACCCCCGGGAGTGGGCTGTGCCGAGGGTTGTGCTGGCAGGTCAAGGAGTTGAGGGCTGTGCTGGGGAGCCCAGGGAAGAGCGGTGTTTGCGGCGTCTGGCACTGGGAGCCGGAGTGGGGAAAGGGGCCCGGTGAGGTCCCAGGAGGGCCAGACCCGCAGCAGGAATGGGGCTTCTCGTTTGCCCACTAAAGGCGTTAGCAAGATCTGGGGGAGGTTGCCCGGAATTACAAACTGCAGGACTAGTGCCACCGGGAAAGCCCGCGCCGACCGGCGCTTTGAGAGGACGCTCCCGGGGGCCGCCCACCGGCGGTGGAGTGGCCGGGGCGCACACCCCACCCGGCACCGCGTGCCTCCGAGGTCTTGGCCTGTGAGCATTTCTGGGGCGTCCAATAGAAGGGGGAGCTGTGACTGACTCATCAGGGAGGACTAACAGCTGGTTTCCAAAGAGGTCGTGGAGCTCGGCGATTGTCCTCTGTTCTCGGCTCTGAGGGGAGACCTGAGACCCTGACACGGAGCCGCAAGGCGCTGGTGGTGGGAGCTCTGCTCCGAAGTGCAGCGCAGCGGGGTGCGGGGGGCCGTGCCCGGTGGCGTCTGCAGGGCTGTGACGGTCACCCCGGGCCATGGGGTGGGGGGGGGGGGGGGGGGGGGCCCAGCCTCTGCTGCCCCAAGCTGCCCCGTTCCTCTGGCTTCCTCCCACCTGTGCCCTTTGTGGGAAAGAGAGGTAAGAAATGAGCAGGTAGAAACTTAGGGAGGTGATGAGCTTTCCCATTGTTGAGTTAAGGAAAAAACACCGAGAGGCGGTTACCAGTGTGTTCGCCGTCATTTGCTGGGTGTCAGTTGCGAGCAAGGGACAGCTGAGCCCTGTCGTGGTTGTCAGAAATGCCGCGATGCACCAGTCTCCTAGTGGGGCACAACTTGCTTGTTTTGGAGCTGCCATGATAGGGACACTAAAAATAGGGCAGATTTCGTGGAGAGACCGCAAGAAGCAGCGTAGAACTGAGACCGAAACCCTAATTCGTGAACAGGCCGTTTTGCCCCCAGTGCCATCCCCACTGTGGCGCCCGAGACGGGACAGGAGTCCTCTCCCTTCCGCGTCGCTGGGGGTGGTTGGGCTCGTTATCGAGTCCAAATTCCCTCCAAACTATTGAGTTTGAGTTCGAGGAAGAGAGGCCTAAGAGTCTGTAGAGAGAAGAAGGGGAACCGCCGGGGGCGGGGGGGAGGACCTAGCAGCAGCAGGGGCACCGTGAACCCCTGTCCCGCCCCGTCTGTCAGGCGTGTGCGACCCTGCTGCCCTAAGTGGAATCGAGGTGGCAGGCGACAGCCAGAGTCTGGGAGCACGAGTGTGAAAAGCACCCGAGAAGCAGCAAACCCCCGCCTGGAAAAGCGGAGACGCCCGGCGTGGAGGGGCGCGCCGCCGCTGAGCTCCCGGTCCGGCGCGGACCTCCCGTGAGTCCGCGTTAAAATACTCGGGCAGTCGGCTGCTCAGCTACCGTTCACTAGCCATCGTTTGTCGCTGTGTCCACATAGAGAGAGGTTATTTTGACAGATTGCTTTTGTTTGTGGTTCTAAAACTGTCTCTTGAAAATAACTCCAAGAAGTTGTCAAAACGCATTCCTCGTGATTATTTTCAAAATGGGATTTATTTAAATATTTCTTTCTTCATGCTGGAGAAATAAGTTAGCGTTGCTGGGCCGCCTCACCTTGTATAAAATGCAAGTATGTAATTTTAATATTCACCCGGTGATCGTTGGATATTAGAACACGTGCGTGGGCGGTTTGTTAAGAATTTGGAAATGTGCATTAAGCACGGATTTCGAACACCCCCAGCTGACGGACGCTTCTGGTGGACGCCGCTCAGCCCCCAAAGGCCGCGGTGACTCAGCCAAAACAGCCTCTTCTCACGGTGTCTGCGGGGACTCAGCCAGGCCTGGGTCACTGCTCGGCAGTGGGACCCACCCCCACTGTGCCCTTCATTATGAAAAGCGCTAGTATTGACTAGTGTCCTCTCTTTAGACAAAGTGGTTTTGAAAACACCTAATCCTCATTTCACACATGGGCTCTCTCTCCCCAGGGGAGCGGCTTGTCAGGTAGATTTACTTGTCTGAGGACACACGCCACCCAATTTCTCAAGGGAGGGAGTGTTATTGATATCACGGAGGGAAAATGCTAGAAAATTAGATTATAATGATTTTTCTCAGGGCCAGAAACTTTCTGAGCATAAGTCACCACCAACTGGAGAAACCCTTAAAACCAAGAGGAGCCGCTGCGAGGCCTGCCGGGGGGCGGCCGGGCGGCCCTCTGCCTCTCGCTGCTCCGGGTCTGGGTGACCGTCGGGCAGGGCACGTGGTCATTTGCAGGTTCCAGGGTCGCCTGAGGGTCCTCACCCGAGGCCCCCGGGGCAGGACCCTCACCTGGTCCTGTGTCCCAGGCCCTGACTCTGAGCCCCCCGCCCCCTTGCCAGGGCCCTGGAGACACCGGCCAGGAGCCTTGACGGCAGGCAAGGCTTAGTCCTCTTCTCCCGTCGCTCGCTGTCTGGACCGGGGCAGTGCCGCCTGCCGACGCGTCCCCGAGGGGGCTGCTGGGCGCGAGGGGCGCACAGACCCTCTGCGCTCCTCTCCGTCGGGGCGTGAGGCGCAAATCTGAAAGCTTAGAAAGAAGGGGAAGGGGCCCTGTCTTACGTACATGATCACCCACCCGACGCTCCCGGCCCCTCGGCCCCTCGGCCCCTCGGCCGGTGTCGCAGCCTCTACACTTCGCGTCAGAAGCGTTTTGAGAAGGGCCACCATGAGGAGGCCGCAGCCGCGAGCTCATTTGCCTGATCACGCCCCCTCCTCCCTCCTGAGAACCAGCTTGGCTCTCCCCCTGGCTCTCCCTGCACTAACCGGCAGGTGTGGAATTTAGAGGCCATGGGGGTTTTATAAAGTGACTGGGGGCTGCCTGCCTGCCGCGCTGGACCCGCAGCGCAGGCCGAAGGGCGGGCCGGGTGCCGTCTGCACCGCGGTTCTCTTCGCAGCGTTGGGCCGCAGCCGCGTGTGGGGTCCGTCCGGAGTCCGGCGTGTCTGTCCTCTTGGGGCCTAATGGACACTTAGCAGCAGGTGTGGCTCGTGGCCCCCCACTCCCACCCCCGAGAATGGGAGCTCCAGGACCTGCCGCGTCCTCGGCGCCTAGGATGGGGCTTGGCAGGTGGTAGACGCTCCAGAAGCCCTTGCTGAGCATGTAAATGGCGACAATAACAGATGAACAATTGAATCAAAAGGATTCTCCCTCCCAACGGCCCGAAGATGTGCTTGTTGTCCTTCTGGGACAAGTTTTCTGTGTGGAGAGGAGGGGACAAAGCGTGTCGAGTCACATCAGCAGCCCCCCTCCCCACGCGCTGCAGGGCACGGGGAGCCCTTGGGGGCGCGTGAGCCCCTGAACCCGCCCCCCGGGGCAGCCTGCAGGATTCCTGTGCTGCTCTCTCCAGCCAGCCCAGGCTCAGGGCATTGTTAGCAAAGAGTGGGTGTCAGCTGGCCAACCCCAGTGTCTCTGAAAAGGACAGTAATTGCCACTTCGGTCCTCGCCACGTTTCCGCCCCAGGCTGTGCTGCGGGGCGCGCCAGCCTCCCTCCGCCTGGGCGCAGTGGCCCAGAGGCGCCGAGGGCCGCGGGCATGGGGTGGTGCCATTCCCTGTAAGGGTTTGGGGCCGACGCTGCTGAGTGACAAGGACAGAGCAGGGGTCCCAAGAGCAGTTGCTAAGAGCAGAACGCCCCACGGCCCAGGTTTGCAGGCCATGGGTTCCTCGTGCTGGGTCTGAGCTTCGCTGGGAGGCAGCGGGCGGACCCCTTCTGCAGAGGTTGCAGGCGCCGAGGCCCCCACCTCCTAGGGGCGTGGCCACAGGGGTCACCCCGCACCCAGGCAGGACCGCCCCCGCCTGCCCCGCCACCGCGCGGCCTCTGGCTCCCTGGCTCCCTGTCTGCAGGCAGCGAGGTGCCGTCTGTGCTCTGCCCAGCCAGCGGGGCTGCCCGGGTGCGGCGGAAGGCAGCCCTGAGGGCTCCCTGGCTGTGACGCACGCGAGGGGGAGGTCTGAGCGCCGGTCCCCATCTCAGGGGGCCGAGGGCAGCGTCGTCCTCCTTCCTGTCACGGTCACCCGAGGGTGCGGCTGGGCCGTCCCCATCAGAGGCCAGGGGGCCCCTCCCTACTCTGTGAACCTAAACACATAATTCCGGTACAACTTGCACATAGGCTTCGTGCACCATTAAGCGGCTCAGAGGAAACGAAACGCCCACCTCGGTGGGAGTCGCAGGGCAAGCGCCGTGTCCTGTGTGGTTCGCAGCT